AGGCAGCTGTCAATATATTTTGATTTTATATGGTAATACCTGACATTGGAGCGATCAGGTTCACACCAAATGGATATGACATCGTAGGCAGACTTGGTGTTCCATAAATATACTCCCACAATTAAAATAAAATAAACTGACTTATTTAACCCCAATGTGCTGAACTGGCAACCTGGGATTTATTTTTGACAGTATGGTCCCTTTGATGTCACCCAGCCATTAAATATACTGATCATCTAGTGCGCAAGACTTGCCTGCACCAAAATTGTAGAGCAAATTCAGATTATTGCCGAAACACTGCAAACATTTGTTTTTGTTCAGAACTGAATATACCATAGCAAATGTGTTACATATATTTTTTACCAAATATCCAATTAAATATTAACCTGAACACTGTCTCTGTGTTTACGTTGGGTTAGGAATAATTTCCTGGAAACTATGCTAACCTTCACCATTGTGTGGTGGAATAATTTTGCCTGAAATTAGGGCATTGCTAGATGAATGTATCTAAGAACTTAGTATTTTCCGTGAGCAGCTGTATTTGGTGTTCTAAGGTGTGAGCTTAGTTTATTTAAAAAACAAACAAAAAGTTTCCCTCTTGTACAATTCCATATTGGTATGTTTGATAATCCGTGTTATGGCCAAATTTGTAGCAAATGTTTAAAAAAAAAAAAATCAATATATTTTGATTCACAGTGTATTGCAGACACTTCTCTCCCTAAAAACTGCTAAAACAATATATTTTTTGCCAAGTATTCTAAGAATAGGTGGCGTTCAAAAAATTGTCACCCTTGTGATAATTTTTTTTTATTTGTACCAGGGTTTTTCTCCTAAATATGTAGTTTTTATAAGGCTAGCCAAATGGACAAATTAAATATTTGCCAATTTGCTTGTCGTACATTCCTGCCATTACCTTAATCTACAGTCACGCAGATTGTGTGGGTTTGTCTTATTGCTATGTTTTTATAAATCACCTTTTCATGATTTTTTAAAAATGTTTTCAGAAGGTTAAATGTTAACATATTCATTGTGAAATAAAATTGAACCTAAATAAATGTTGCAAGTTGCGTAACTAAATGGTGGGAGACCCAATGCTTGAATGGGTTCTACACCTCCACCATAAAGGTTATCTTTGTTGCGTGCCAAGTGATGTGGAAACAGAAAGGCCATGTAACCAGTTATTGTATGGATAATATTGTATTATTTTGTAGTGTGGCTGTAGAGAAAGGAGAATCTCGCCGTACTGCCTTGCAACAAATACTGTAGAAGCCAGTGTGTGTACACAATGCCAAATGTCAAACATTGTGACTCCTGGTGGTACATTTCATCATCTTTAGTTCTACTTAATTAGATATCTCCGTGTTAAAGACCAAGCTTCCATATGTGATAACTATTCATGGTCATTAACAACAAGAGATTCGTGTTCTTCCATGGATCATGCAGTGATGCCCCTCACTTGCCAATCAGCTAATGAGAACTTGAATTTCTGCAACTGTTCCATATTTGGGTGGCAATGATAGGCACTTGGAAGGCTTAGCCTCGCACTTGCACTCTATCATTGCTTTCCACCTTTGGAAGTTCACAAGCTGTTCTACATTTTGACTAAAACTGGGGGTGGCACCTAAAGATTAATTGCACCAAAACTACTAAGTCAATGAGCTGTAGTTGCTACGTATCTAAAGTCCTTACATAGTCTATCTTTTGTTTTATTTTTTTTTTATTTTTTTAATCAAGAGAAAAGAAATTATACAATGCATCAAAAATAGTTACATAATAAGGTGTCACAATAAACGTCTAAATATAAAAACAGCATTTAAGAAAACATTTAAAATAAAGTTATAAGACACTTATCTTGTAGTAAGCACAGTTAATAAACTGTTGGTCAGTTTTATGACTGCATTTTAGGTAAATCTGTAATTATTATTTTTTGCACATAAATTGGAGTTTAGTCTTTTTTTGTTTTTTTTAGTTAAGGTTTAAAAGAAATGTATTGATTTTTGTTGACCATTTTGTATATTTACAAAATATTTTTTTAGAGGGCAAATGGAAAATCAAATGTGATTCTTGATTTTAATGTAATATCTCCGCTTTTAAATTTTTTTTATTTTTTTTTTACACTAAAGAGAAAATAAAAGCTAAACATTTTAAGACCAGGAAATTTTTGACACTTTCCTTTGAATTTTTTTGTATAATAATCCACTCCAAAGTTGTTCAAACCTCAACCTAAGCTAAAGTGAAGGACGATAATTAACTATATTGAATGTATAGTGGCAAAAACATAGAAAATCTGGTCACATTTTCCATGATCCATTGAAAGCGATACATTTGAACAATGCATTGCAAATATGTCAGACATGTTAATTGTCAATTGTCGCATTCTCTTCACAGCACTTATGATTGGTCTTTACAGCACTGTAGTAGATAGCCTAAAATAAATAGTTTCAGTGTCTTACTGGCTGACGGAACTAAGTTTAATGTATTTCTTTTTATCCCAACATGCACTTATGATGTACATTTGTTATCAACCAGTAGGAGGTGCTGTTGCCAAATGTCATATTTAATTGAAGTATCAAATTATCATCTAAACGTTCCAGGAAGATCCCTCAAATAACTCTCTAAATGTAACTGCATATATTTTGTTCCCAGTTGATTGCATTCAAGATGTAATTTGCCAATAGCAGAATAGTTACTTATTTTCTACCCCTGAGCTACACTAACTCTAACATGGTTTTTCAATAGAGGGAGAATTGCTGGTAACCCAAAGTGATTTTAAAGTTTAAGGGCAAAATAGTTAACCTGGAAAAGGGTTCCTGTCAGTTCCAAGAAATTCTCATTTTAGTGAGTAACCCTGTCAATATTTCTTTCTCCAGCAGTGTATGGAAAATGGGGCTGTGATTATTAATATTTCAGATATAGAGCTGCATGCATAATACTAACTCAGCAAGGTGCATAATGTCCATTGAATGTACCCTGCCTTGTGCCTCATAAAGTATGTTTGCAGAGATCTTATCAATATAGCCAAAGATTTTGTATGCAGGAACAATTCGCCATTTTAATATAATCCTTAATGTTGATTTAGAAGCACATACTGCCAAAATGGGTATTTGATATGGGTTTAGAGGGTTCCAAACAAAAGCTCCTTTGAGATTTTAATATTTTCTTAATTGATCGGCCACAAAAACAATTGTATTAGATACTCTTCAGAATCATTTTATCACTGTATAGTGTAATTATTTTGTTGATATTAGGGTTGCATTTAAAATTAGCAGGGATTGTTTGGTCAATGCTATAAATATACCTGTTTGACAGTAGGACATTAAAATTTGTACTTGCGAAGTGCACCTGTACACTGCGGATCTGAGGTCCTAGGTTGCCACTGGACTTTTTATTTTTAAATACTTTTTATAAATAAGATTATTTACAATAATCAACTAACTCTGGTCCCCGATATTCTGTGTATGTTTCCCTCCATCCCAGAATGGTCAACGAGCTAGAGTACCAGACCATACCTATCTGTATGTGCCAACCTCTGTTCAATTTGCTGTGAACCCAACAAGTCAGTGATTAGTCACCATTATTATCGAGGCATTCGGACCCAACAGCCTGTTGAACAAAGTTTGTTGTTGTTTTGTTCATCTTCAGTAGTTACATTTTACCTTTCAAGCATGTTTATCCCCCAATAGTCTTGTTAGCTTAGTTTTCTTAAATTTATTCTGCTTGTAGGTACACTGGTATCACTTCAATTATTTCACTAGCCAAATTGAAGGAGATGTGTGTAAACCCATAGAAGGACTGTTTATGTATTTTATGATTCATCCACAAATAAACTCTTTCCGTTTTATTATCTGTGGTCGCAGAGACCATTCCTTCAATGTTACAAGGTTTCAAACATTCCAAACTAAAGTTGATGCCTTTAAACAGAACAGAAGTGCTTTTTCAAATTCTGTACTGTTTCATACCTATTTATTATAAGCCGATCTTCTCTCTGACATGAATTGTGTATCTGACAAAGGCTCAGTACCTTATAACTGTATAGCATATGAGAATTTACTACTTATGTACAATGCTTGTTTTAACAGTCATACTAGCTTTATAAATGGCTTTAATAAACTCTCTGAGAATGGTTAATCTAGTTGCTTTCCTTTTGGAAAGAGATCCATGTGAAAAAAAAAATGGTGTTATGAAATGATGCATATTGCTGAATATTTAATAAAATAATTGTAAAATCTGTACAAATCAGAATGTTGAGGTTGTTTTTTTTGTTGGTATGGTATACAGTTTTTATGTCTGGTTAAATAATTCTTTGGAGATCACTTACACTGCTGCTCGCGGCAATCTCCATGGTTACATGAACTGACTTAATATTCTATATAAAATATAAATGCTGTAGTGATACATATATGGTGTACAAGTGCTTGACTTGGCCTGTTTCACAATACAGCATAGACTTCAATTAGGCCACTCAGATTATTTTCTCATGTATAAATATATATTATAATTTGTATATATATATCACCTGTTTTTTGTAAATTATAAGCAATGATGAGGCCATATTGCAAAACTTTATAAAGCCGTAAAATGGATTTGCAATTAAATTTGGGTATTCTGAATGGGACAATATTAACCCTTCATAAACTGACATGGACAAAGGATCCAATACTTATATTCAGGGAACCCAAATTATATCAGACACCTGGAGAAGCAATTAACACATGTCACAAATGGTTGTGAGTCCAGAATTACTTCCGTTCGTTTATTCAAAGTAGGGTGTATTTATAAACAATATGGTTGCAGCTTAGCTTGAAGGTTTAAAAAAATATAATGTAGTTAAAGATAGGAAAGTCAAATGATATCATTAATGTAGCTACATATTTCATAAGATATAAAATTAGTTTACAAAACAATATGTGGTTACATATTTCATAAAATAGGAAGGTCGCAGATAAAATTAGCTAACAGTCACACAATGTACAGTTTATCAAAATAAGTGCTCTGGTGGGGGCTAGAATACACAGAGAACGCAACTTATGCTGACACGTATACAGCATTTTACAGAGAAAAAGTTCATTACATATAAAGAGCATCAGATGTAGGCCTTAATTTAATTATGCTGAACATTGGAATCAAGATCTATTCCCTCACAATACCCATGTCACGTACATTAAAGGACCACTCTAGGCACCCAGACCACTTCAGCTTAATGAAGTGGTCTGGGTGCCAGGTCCCTCTAGGATTAACCCTTTTTTTTAATAAACATAGCAGTTTCAGAGAAACTGCTATGTTTATAATAGGGTTAATCCAGCCTGAAAATCACAGTGAGAACACGCAAGCGTCCATAGGAAAGCATTGTAAATGCTTTCCTACGAGACTGGCTGAATGCGCGCGCAGCTCTTGTCGCGCATGCGCATTCAGCCAAAAGGGAGGATAGGAGGCGGAGGAGAGCTCCCCGCCCGGCGCTGGAAAAAAGGTAAGTTTTAACCTTCTCCTCTCCCCAGAGCCGGGCGGGAGGTGGTCCCTGAGGGTCGGGGCACCCTCAGGGCACTATAGTGCCAGGAAAACGAGTATGTTTTCCTGGCACTATAGTGGTCCTTTAAGCCTACATATATAAATATATAGTGACAATCACCACCTGATAACATTTACAAAAGTGTCCCCACAATGAGATGATAATCCGTTAACTCACACAGTTAAGCACTATGTGGTGCCTTTTTTGCTCTCACTAGCAGAATCACCCTATCTTGTTCTATTAAGCCTACGTAGTCTGTAATAAACAAACCTGTGTAAATGCCCTGTTAGATAATATCAACTCTAATTTGTTGTAATGTTGCAGGAACATCAGGTAGCTGAAATATTAGAATTACTGGACATATCCATTTGGGCAGCACTGCACCGTAACCGTTAAAGGTACACTGTAGTTCTAGTTTAAACTTGGTAATTGTTCATTGATTCACAATTTGTTGGGTTTGCATGTTTAAATATACAGCTTCATAAGCAATAACACTCACAATAATCTGTAAACTAAAATTAGTTTACTTAAAGGAACAGTGTAGGCACTGTAAGAAAGAAGTCAAATAAAATAAGGGTGTGTGAGAGCGGTCCAAAATGACCCTAGACACGTACCAATTATGGAAAAGTTATAAAACACTAAATTTCATTTGCATAATACAGTAAATCATTAAATGTCTACTGAAAATTATCTCTCAAAGATAAATAAATGAGAGAGAGAATCATATTGACATCTTAATTTGTAACGCTCCCAGAAAGCACCCGATATTTATCAGTCTTGAAAAAGTCTGTTAGAGACGAAACGCTTAGACGATCGGGTCTTGCCTTTTTTAACTACACCCGTTTTTCAGCACATTACCCTGGAAGTGGATTATGGCATTGGCTACACTCATTGATACCGAGAATGGGATTCATCACCTGGCGGGTTTTTTCGGTGTGCTCCCCTCCTCCGGCAACTGGCAGGCGAACAGGGTAAGTCGTTGGGGGACTCAGTGTTTTAGACGGACTTGGGTATTCCCCTAATGCACCCTTAGCCATCTCCATTTTACCAGATGGGTTTATGAGCTCCAAATCTCCCCCAGGTTGGTGATCCCCTCTATACTGATTTTATCATCAGCTCCTACATCAGTTTGTTTGCATTTTAGTTTTGTGGATCTACTTGAATATCCTATAGATTTTTTGAAGTTTGCTCCAGAAGGAGGGCCCCCTTGCTGGAGTTTGTACTGAAATTATTGTATCCAGACTTGTGTATTTTGCTGATCTATATCGGCTACAATTAGACCGATATTTAGTTATCAGTGATTGATGTGTATTGCGTTATGTATCCATATCTTTTAGTACACTTTTTATAGATTAATCAATGCATTTTTGCCTATTTTTACAATAGTTTAGACAGTTTTATGCATTATTTACCGTGATTAACTTAATTGCTGATCTTATTCTATTAAGTTTATATAGGGTGCAATTATTTATTGGATTGAATATTAACTTTTGAACTGATTCTCTCTCATTTATTTATCTTTGAGAGATAATTGTCAGTAGACATTTACTGATTTATTTACTGTGTTATGCAAATTAAATGTATAATGTAGTAATGTAATGTGTTTTATCACTTTTTTTTTTGGAGCTCACACACACATTCTTATTTTATTTGTCTTCTTTTTATCAGTCGCTCATCATTATGTTGTGAAGCAGCCCATTGTGAGTTTATTTGATTATATTCCGTTTAATTTCAGTTATCTTTTATTTATTTATATACTTTTAGGCACTGTAAGTGCTTCATCTCATTGATTACAGTGGTTATAGTGTCTGACCCCTGGAGCCGTCCATCCACTCACTGTTAAACTGTTTTTAATGTTAACATGCTATGATACGGTAAGACTGAACCCAGTAGCCTATCCTCTCTTTGCTAGGAGAGCTAATGATGAAACATTAGCCAGAGCAGCAATGTCAGCTGACCCCTTTCATCCTATAACACAGCTCCCATTGCTGGTATGAATAGCTGTGGAATACAAGGAAGTGTAATCTCTGCCTTAGCAGAGGTATTCCAGTAGGGACGGTCAGTATACAGCCATCCACCCTTATTCAGCGTTAAACTGCTCAAAAATGGTGTAACACTGAATACAGGGGCAGTGCCAGAGGACCATAGACACTATAACCAATCCAATGAGACGAAACGTGTAAAAAAAAGTGTCCATTTTTAAAATAAAATAATTTTGGTCTTGTAAAATGGAAACTACACTGTATTTTTATCTTTTACTGTGGTCCTGGAACAACATAATAAAAGGCTATTTGCCTTCTCTGTCCTCATTATAAACCTCTATAGTGAGCCTTGCAGTAGTTGTTAATCATTAAGATGTCTGTACCTAGAAAGAACTACCATAAAACCCATAACTTAATGCAAGAAAAGAGTTTGGAGAAAACATAAAGTTCAGTTAATGAGTTAGGAATGCAAACTACTCTCGAATTTCAGTGCTATTCCTCATTATGTGAAACGCAAGGTGTTTATAATAAGCCCTTGGTTTTAGGATCTTTAAAATAAAACCATTAAAAAGAATCCTCAAATTTTTCAGATTTTATGGTTTTAAAAATGAAACTTAGAAATGTATAGTTTTTGTTGGCAAAAAGAAAACGATTAAAATACTTTGACTTTATTACATCTTTAGACCAATCATTTGACTGAACAATAATATACAAATACACACTTTCAGAAGTAAGCTAAATCTTTAGTTTAAATCCACTTGAAGGTGGAAAAACGGCACCACGTTACACAAGATAAAAGGAACTAACACTTTGTAGCCAATTTGTCCTTCACTTCCTGGATGACTGGAAATGTTACTACCATTGAGAGAGATTCTCCTGCCAACTTTTTGGTTGTTAGGTGAGAGAAATTTGTATTTATTATAGCTCAAATGTTGCGCTATCTTTGAGTAAAACCCTTTTATCACAGTTAAAATTCCGCTTCATATTGATCTAGAGCAGGGGTAGGCAACCTTCGGCACTCCAGATGTTGTGGACTACATCTTCTTTGCTTTCTCAGCATTATGGCTTTAAGAGCGTTATAGGAGATGTAGACAACAGTATCTGGAGGGCCAAATATTGCCTTCTCCTGATCTAGGGCAGCGATGACCTCATAGTTTTCCTTAACTTGAACTCATCTGTCACCTTTTGATGGCAAAACTCTTCCAAAAAGGGATTTGGGACCGGTTCTGGAGGGTTAATACTGATATATTGGTCGCACCTTAACAGACACAGGTCAAATGGGTCTTTGGGTTTTGTAACTTACTGTCTTCCTATTGGCACTTGCTAAACAGAATTCTGATATTGCTGCACATGGTATGCAGGAAACTATAAAGGAAAGAAAAATTGATTTATCCCATGGAGAAAAACACTTGAATATTTCTTTTAAGCAATGACATAAAAATTATGCCATATTGAAATTTACCTGTTTCTCATTTAATAAACAACTTTACCACAAACAGAAACATCAGCCACAATCCACTTTTACCCTAGACCTCTTTTTGGCAATTTAGTTTAAAGGTTTTCTCCAGGTTTTTTTTAGTGATTATGATGTGAAGAGTAGTTTGGTGCGATCTCCCAGTAAGGGAACAAATGGTTTTGCAATGGTTTGTCTCTATAAGTCTCCAGCCAGGCACAGAGTCTCCCTCAATGGAGCCAGAATTCGACTTGTGTGGAGCTGAAATGTTTCAGCAAGTGAGAGCCATACCTTTAATTCAGAAACTCTAACTTAAGACTCAATTGATCACATGTTTCTGGATGAGTTCAGCATGTGGAATACAAGGTAGACTGACCTCTGATTGCCTGTACCAAGGTTTTCCCATCAAACTGCTATAGCCGGATCATTGATACAATTTTTAAACATCTAGCTGGGGTTTTGTAGGTTCAAAACAGACATCCATCAAACACGTCTATTCTTGATATCTGAAAATGAGTTCCTTGTCACAAAGTAAGCATCCTCTTGGTTCTAGAACCACAGAGATGTATTTTGCTTACTACAATATTCCAACCATTTTCTAGGTATTTATCCAATATAGGACCCTTGGGATGAGCTGCGATGATAAAGTTGCAGTGTTAATTTTCGGTCAAATGTCTGCAGGACCTTTTTGATACTTTTCTATTAACCTGGGGTCAAAATATCAAAACAATGTTTTCAGTACCATATTTAATTCAAACCATAAAGAATTCAAGAGGAAAATGTTGTTCTTTTTGGTACCAGATCGCTGTCCAGAAGAATGCAGTTCTAGGAACAGCTAAGATACTGCGCAGAACCCTCAGACTCCCAGGCCTCTGGTAGAGGATTCAAGAATGAGGAATAAACATACCACCCAGGATGGATGAGAATATAAATTTTTTATTTATATATTATACACACACACACTTCACACCGGTAAACGACCAGATCGATATACGTAGTAAAGTGGTCATTAAAGTGTGTAATATGCAAGTGCATCTATGTTTGTGTATAGGCCTCAGACAGAGTCGGCAGCATATCACCACAGAATGGCTATAATATGCAGGGCAGAAATAAATACATAAATAAGTCTACAACTGGAATAGCTGAGGCTTCCTGTTATAAACGATATTTCATGTAAATCTTCTGGAAATTTCCATGTGGAATCTACGTTGGTGACTACATTACTAGGAAAATACTATAATGTGTTATCATTAACTGTATTTGAGCAAGAAATCTGATGGCAACTAAAAGAAAAATACCCCTGACACACCTCGTCTGCCCATTTACTGTTTGAGCTTTGTGATGCTTGCTCAATGAAAGTGTAAGTTCAAAGTCAAATTATCAGCACAAACTTATTGCAGAAGAACATCCTGACAGATTTATTTTAGGGTCACCATGCCAGGAATCCAGGAGCATACCTTTCTGTGCTCTGTAGTTTGAAGGATCTGTTACTTGCATGATATCGTTTAGAACGAGCATAATGTTGATCTACAACAGGAGCCTCAAACTACAAGATGGTAGGATATTTGCAGCCGCCTAACAGGTTTATTGGAGCCTCAGGGGTAAAGAGAAGCTGTAGTCACCTTAATTACCAGGCTGACTGCCAATTAACAATCTGGCAACATCTGGTAACTACTGTCAGGTGGATGGATTGTGTCTAACTAGACTGCCTGGTAACTGAGTTGTTTGGTTGCTATCCCAGTAATGTCGTGAGGCTGAACAGAATTCTGTGGGAGCAAGCACTTTCTGCTCACAGAACTCAGTATCTAGAGCACAGAGCTCTACATTGTGTGCGAATATAATAATGCAATGCTGGATCATCAAAAGAAAGTCCTGTCAGAAGGACCCTCCCTCATTTGACACTGTTCGACTGTCCTATTTTAGGGGTAGTTCCCTGGAGTGCCTATGTGTGTATCAGTGAGTTGTTTAAGAGCTAGTGTGTATCTGTGTGTCTAGGAGTATGGATCTGTGTATAGGCCATGTAGTATGGGTCAGCGGTGCCAATGTGAAAAGGCTTGAGAAAGGTCACATTCCATGACAAAAATGTTGTCACTCTATTTGGGTAGAAAACCCGATACCAGAGCCTGCTCTCCATGATTTACACTGATCAGACTTCCTCTTTTCTCCCCCTGTCATGATGTTAAAAGGAGAAGAGATCTTCTAACTGCACATGTGTAATTCTGCCACTATGTATGAAAGCTAGACTTTTTGGTTATTTTGGATACACCTTTCCATTTTAAAATGTAGTCCATGAGAATTGTGCTATGGTGGTATAGCAGAATAAGTATGCTATCATTATGATACGCAGAATTCAACAATGACTGCATGCTACGTTAAAGTGTTGTCATGGCTCTGCCGATGAGGGCAATGCGATAGAAGGGTTAGCTTTGTCAACACAGGTACATCCAATAATACACAAACGTTTCTCCCAATACTAAGGCCAACCAGTGATTAGATGACCGCACCAGTGTGGAAGAAAGTTCCTGTTTCAGGGCTAAAGTTATAAACCAGCCTTTTCAGTCCTGGGATGTCATCCTCTGCTTTATCAACATGGCCTTCCATCAGTGTTAGCAGCACACTCTGTGTCTAAAACTAAATGGTACCAACACATTTTTGTGTAATGACAGTAGTGGCAAAACCACACACCAACGATTGCACCATTTCATACTATTTGTTATAATCTTGCCGATTGTCTTCTCAACAAAACCACATCTTCACAAGGCTTCTATTCCACCCATTGCAGCTACAGAAGACATGTTTTCTCTGACGGAAGATACCAGTGAGATCTTTAACTTTGATGCAGGCAAAAAACTATTAGATCATTGTGTCTATTCAGCTGAACACAAGAAATAGCAAGGTTTATATATATATATATATATATATATATATATATATATATATATATATCTACTTTTCCAACACTTATCATCAGCACCATCAGCATACAGCAGCCGGAGATTTTGTGCATCCAAACCATGGAGAGATTTAATGTACCACAAATGTACTTATACAGCTTTCAATAACACTCACACAACATCATGCCATTAAATAGTAACACTCTAAAATGGAGATAAAATGTTATGTCACAAAATACACTGAAATCCAAAAACTCATAGGACTGATCCTTTAGACCTGCTCCTGTACAAACCAACAGTGGGCCAATAAAAAAACTGTTATGTTTGTCTAGTTTTTGGACTCATCTGGTAAAGTCTGGATGTTCCTGGAGAACACACAACATCTGAAATAATGAACCTGATCACCTACATTCCAATACTGATTTTGGATATAGTAACATAGATATTATTTCCACCAATTGATACTCGTTTAGTGTTCTAACGGATTACCTTTTAGTAATCATATATAGACCTGGTACACAATATTAATTAGCATTTCAATCCCGGGCTTCACAATTTTAGCTTAATTCAAGGAGAAAAAAATATTTAAGAAGCCTGGCATCACCTATCAATTGGCACCCAAACTTAAATCACTTACCTACAATAAATCATTATTCCCTATACCATCTATAGTAGCTGCAGCAACCACATGACAGTAGCACTGCCTACCGCACGCCACCCATTTAGCTTGCAACACAGAAAACCTGTACAGAACCCACATGGAGCCATATAGCACCCACAACACATTTAGAACTGGTTAATAGGTGTTTTATATTAATAATTATATCTGGTTAAGTGTGCCACATCAGTTTATTATATTTGTGCATCAATAGACATGCTCACGTAATGCAAAATGCACCCAGGGAATTCAGCTCATATAAGAACACTTCGGTTGCAAGGGCAGCTCTGAAAGAGGCTCTTCAGAGTGGTTGGCTATGAACCTGCAGTGCATGCATACCATGTAGACGGAACCTCTCTTAGGGAAGCCCCACCCCTTTCTCAGTAGGGGCAGCCAATCAAATTGCATAGGATAGTGTTCACCCATAAAATAGAATGCACTCATTAATTAAAATAATAATT